ATTTTCTGTATTGAATTTTCACAGGTGTTTTACCCATATTTTGAATTATACCTTGGATTGTGTTGTGTTTTAGGGTTGAAGGAAATGTTAGTAAACGTAACAGAAAAGGTACTGGTCATTTTCTGCCAAGATGTTATCAGTTGTTATATGTATTTTTTCTTGCCGTGTATGCTATTCAATATGAGATTTAATTATTCAGACAGAGACATTATTCTCATTAATCAGTTGATTAATGTCTTGGAATTTAACCACAAAATTAAGGATGCACCAATATTAAAATCCTGGTCAATATCTATAATTACTTTCATGTTATGGTTCATAACTAATAAACTACTTTTAATGCAATTCATACTATTTTGTTTGAATAAATTAAAAATAAAATACTAAAAATATTAAAAAGATAGTTGTCACAACATGCATATTGACTTTGAGGTTTGCTAAAGATTACAATCTATCATTAAATTATTAATGAATATTAGATGACAGCAAATGTAATATAAATCTAAAACTTTACAAATAAACATGCACAATTTAATATACAACAATGGCCGATATTTGATGCATATATTGGTCGATATTGGATATTTAATTTTGCATGCTCATTTTCTCTTTTTTATTTTTAAATCTATTAAATCGCCTGTTAACAATAATTAAATAATATGTTGTCCATGCCTACCAGAAAATATATAAAATTGTATATGTACAACATATATACACACACACACACACACAGTCTTTTGTGTGCGTGTGTGTGTATTAAATGCATTTGTGCTTATATATCAACTAAAACAAAGTATATACTTTAAATCACACACCTGTCTCTTTCTGTGTTTTAGGTGCCTGAAGATAAGGTTGTGTGAGAAAGTACAACATGTACGATCTACACCTATAGGAACATTTTCAGCAGTCAAAACAACAGAGATCAGGACTTTAGATATGAGGAGCAAACCATACAGATAATAAAACACAAGGCGTCAGGGCTGATCTGAGAACAGTTTTGCCACATTTGTCATTTCCAATGGTTCAGGTTTGTGTTCAAATAGAAAGCTGATCCTAATTCAGCAATAATGGACATCTATCTTTGATCTTGTTGCAGTGATTCAAGGCAGCTCCTTGAAAACAAAAGGGGGTTGTTTTCAATCAAGACCAGATGGGTTGAACACTCTTTGGAATGAGAGGAAAAAGCTTTTTTTCCTTTAGGAAAGAGAAAGCTATCCTGTTACATCCTATATGGATTTAGACATTCTGTTTGGTTGGACCACACACAAACCTAAACATAAACACAATTTCACAAAAAGAAATGTGAAAGGGTGAATCTCTGGTTTTCTTGGCCTTTGTTTAGTATAATTCGGTGCTGTCAGGAGCCTTGGTTTTCTATGCGGTCAGGATTCAAAATTGACATCAGCTGTCCGATTGGAAGCGCTCTCACCATTTTTGTCCATTCGTCCTCCTTTTCCCCCATCCCTTTTCTTTCTGTGGCTTTGTAGTGGTTGCTGCGCAAAGGCCAGACATTCCTAAGAAACAAGTAGCCTAGACTTCCAGAGCAGCTCATGCATTGATGCAAACTGTGGGCAGACGCTGAGCTAAAATTAGTTGAGATTTATGAGATGTGTGTTTGTATATAGAGGAGGTGCCGACACGGAAGATTTTTCACAGATTCTTGCACAAACCGCAAACAAACACGCATACACCTACTTAGTCACAGACGGGAGGCATTAGGACGTAAATAATGAGTTTCACACCTTGCATCAGGGCGAGTGTCCACTAAAACTATCAAACTACACACCAACTCTGCTCTGATGGTTGTTGATTATTTTTCCTGCCATATGAAGAGACGGCCTTGTGTTCCTTCAGCCTAGTCTAGCCCATGCTTTTAAATACAGTCTTGCGTTTGCTTTTCCACCCTACAACCCTCTGAAAATCATATGCTGAGCCTTTTTGGGTTGTTTAGGAAATGAGTCTCTTTTTCTGTTTGATAATTGGTTTTTACAGTACTTCTTTGTAAAAGTATCAAATATATACTGGATACATACACACACACACACACACACATACATATCTATATATAGATATACAAAACAATGCATATTTTCTTAAGAAATATGCGTGCTATATAAATAAATGTGTTGTTGTTGTTTGTTTGTTTTGGATAAAACGTGGAAATGTTATAATGTTTATTGTAATGCATAGTAAAAGTTGACATTAGCTATTCATGCTACAATTATTTTTACACTGATGTATATGAGGGATTTAGCTGTTTTGGAAAAAGTCACATGAGAAGTCAATGCATTACTTGAAATATGCGCTTGCATTGCACTGTGATCACGCGGGCTGAGGAACAAACAACAACAAAAACAAAAACAAAGAAAAAAAAATGTATGTGGCCTGACACGACAAGGTCAGCACACCACAGAACAACTTGCCATTGAGGCCAGCAATCTTCGTTATATATATAACACACACTCTTATTTAATTAATTAATTAATTATTTTTTAATTATCTATAGCACTGATCCTATCCTGGAACAGCTGGTTTGTTGAGTGAGAGGCTTTAAACTTTTATGAGTACTTTGTGTTCTACATTTAATGGAATGAGTGGAGACACACACGTCTTATTTAGAGCGAGACATTTATTAGAAGAATTGACCGTGTTTTGCACTGAGCACAAACAGCACAGGGTTTAATACACCACCTAACCGTGCTCATAACAAACCATCCAGACAAACTTCTTTTCCATGGATGCCTATTTAAAAACTCTTGCATAATACTGTAAATTATTTAAACTGAGAATAACATTAACATTATCAGGACAATCTTATGTTAATGAAGGCACAAATCAAGACAATCATAAGTCAAAGAAAAGTAAAAAAAAAAAAAAAATGTACAGAGAAGCAAATAGCCATGACAATGTACAGAATATAATACAAGACACATTAAATAACACAATTTAAAATATATATATATATTTAAATGGTTACACTGTACTTCATATAAAACTGCCACATTGATGCTTAGGTTCACAGAAATGTGTTGTACTGTATATCTTAATGCAGATTTAAATATTAAGCACATACTTAAAGTTTAAGCTATAGACTATTATAGTTCACGCTTAACAGTAAAAATGCCACATGCAACCAATGTTTTGAAATTAAGCCTGCGTGAGCAATTTAGGAAATTAAACAAACAGTTTTTGGGACAACCAAAAACAAACAGAATGTAATGGAAAAAATGGCATAGTATCTTCATTTTATCTTGACATGCCATTGTATGCTGAACAATAAAACAATTGCACGTGCACAATACATACCACATCCTGAAGATTTTACAGGTTGAGACGTAACCTTTTGATTCAATTTTTTAAGTGAAACCTTTTCATTCTTAATCTTTGTTTTCATAATCTACTGCCTTCAGAATATGTGTCTTTTAACAGTCCACCTTGTGTAAAGAATAGTTTGGCATAAAAAAAAAGGCATGTGCTGTTGAAACGAGGGTCATTTCTGGACCAGAATTACACCACAGGTCAAAGCTTGTCTTTCCACACTTCATGCTTCAGGGAGCTCATATAATTACCCGTGTGCACTAGCATTGTGTGTGTGTGTGTCTGTGTGAGAGAGAATGAGAATGTAGGGTATCATAACACTGATGTAACCTTTGCCCTTTGACCTTTCCTGTGCTTTGTGTTGCAGTAGTTGCTCTCTAGCTGATCTCAAAGATATGTCAACATTTGCATGGCTCCGTCTCTGTCACAACAGGTTAAAATGAGCTCTGAGATCATGATATCCTCTCAGTGTATTTTTGGTACCTTTTATGACATCTTGTTACTTCCCTTACAAAAAAGTACCATAGTACAGTGAAGGTAATATGATGGTACTTTGATATATACCATAGTACAAACTGAAATTAATTATACTTCAAGGCAGAGTTATTATAACTTAGAATTTCATTTTATTTAGAATTTTTACATTTGTTTAGTTTTAGATTTTTTTCAGTTTTTTTAGTTACTTGTAATTATTATTGGTTATATTTTAGGGCTGCCAAAGTTAACTGGTATTTTTTTAAAATAATAATAATAAATTAGTCCCCACCAACAATACCATGGTAGTACCATGGTACATGTTCAAAAACCATGGTGGTACTGTAGTACAGTACATTTGGCTACTTTTTTGTAAGTGTTGTCAAAACGGTTTTCAAAAGACAATAAAGACAAAATGCTCTTAATTTTTTGTATAATAAACGTAAGTCTTTAAAAATGTCAAAAACACTCCTTAACTTTAAGTCTTAGCATTACTGATGGACTGTTGTGCATGTACTTCATTGAAATTGCTGGTATAATACAATGACAATTTATTATACAGATGTTCAAATGGCGTTTATCTAACACTTTTCATAATGCATGACCTGTATTGATGAAAACGTTCTCCCATAAACTATGAAATGGCCTTGGTGTTTTCAAAATGTCCAAAACATGAATGACAGATACATAATTGAAATAACACAATCCCAGCTGACATTACGTGCTGCATCTCGGAGAACAGCCGCTTTAAAGTGCTTCGGTTGTTCCCCCTCAACTGTCGAGTCTAAAACGAGAATATCATGAGAAATGCTCATCAACACGAGTTGGTGAATGGAGATTTGAAATGTCCCGCTTCTCGACCTGTAAACATTTACCCAGCAGCACTGTGATGAGAAGGACAAGCTGGGAATCATTCACTCTTCCAGTATCTCTGCCTTTTTGTCCAAGTCTAGCCTAGCTGGTTGCTGATGTCCAGGGCTTTCTGGTACACCTGGGTAACATCATCCAGATCGCCCAGTAAGGAGAAGCTGCCATTGTCTCCAGGGGAACCGGGAGGGCTGCGAACGCCCTTTCCGCTGGTCTGAAGGCCCCTGAACCCAGCCATCTGCAGCAAGTCTTCGGCCGACAGCGAGCCCCGGATGTTGGGTTTCGGAGAGGCGGGGGGGCAGGCCAAACCCCTGTTACCAAGCAGCACTGTGATGAGAAGGACAAGCTGGGAATCATTCACTCTTCCAGTATCTCTGCCTTTTTGTCCAAGTCTAGCCTAGCTGGTTGCTGATGTCCAGGGCTTTCTGGTACACCTGGGTAACATCATCCAGATCACCCAGCAAGGAGAAGCTCCCATTGTCTCCAGGGGAACCAGGAGGGCTTCGGACGCCCTTTCCACCGGGAAGGGGTGCCATGGTCTGAAGGCCCCTGAACCCAGCCATCTGCAGCAAGTCTTCGGCCGACAGCGAGCCCCGGATGTTGGGTTTCGGAGAGGCGGGAGGCCAGTCCAACCCCATGCTGGAGAGACCCTTCTCCTCGTGCAAGATGCTAGATGGCCTGCTTTGGCTCCGCGAGACAGTTGAGTCTGCCGGGACCTCCCCATGGACTCCCACGGCACTGTGTGTGGAATATTTCCCATTACGCTTCAGTATACCTTTCCTCCCGACAGTCCGTTTGGGTGGTGAGCTGTTCGGAGGCTGCACAGTGGCACCCCCTAACAGTTCGGAGGACTCGCTGTGCTCCGGCGAGGAGTAATACCCAGACTCGCGCTGCTGATTATTTTTCAGAATGCCTTTCTTGGGTAACATGGACACCATTTTGGCTGGCGAGCCACCCAGCGTGTCCTCTGGCTCTGGACTAGAGCCGGACTCGACATCTTGGTAGCAAATGGACCGTCTGAGCTCTACTTCGCACAGACTCTGGGACCGCTGGTCTCCACTGGTCGCCCGAGTCTTCAGGATGCCTTTTGGTCTCTTGAGGCCTGGCTTCTCCTCTGCAACACCCCACATCACACCATCGTTCTCCTTCATGGACTTTCTCAGGCGCCGGGCTGGAGTCAAGGCTGTATTAGTGACATTGTTAATGTTACCAGGCTCTGGGCATTGAACTTTGCCTGGACGGACCTCGGTGCGGTTCTGCCAGTCAATGAAGCGGGCCAGCATGGGCGAGCTGTTTTCCCTTTGCATTTGGCAGTTGCACACGCTGGATTTCCAGCCCCAGTTCACCCACCAGTGATTTGCAATGTCCTCAATTGTAGCCCTGCGATCTGGATTAACCATCAACATCCAGCGGATCAAACCACGAGCGTCTGAATAGGATGGAGAGATTTGAACTCGCTCAGGAAACTTTTTGGGTTCAGACGACTTTGAAATGTCAATCGAGAAGACACATACCTGATGACTGTGGTGGTTCCCTGTATTCTCCGTTGCTGATTTGGCGAATGAGTCTTTGGTGGTCTCCTCCATCGAAGGGCATTGTTCCGTAGACGAGAGTGTAGAGTAATACGCCCAACGCCCAACTGTCAACCTGTCAAAACAACCCCACACTGATAAATTTGTCCACTGGGAGATACAGTTGAAAATGGTTTATGGAATTCTTTTGTTTGTTTCAATCATAGTTTTTGTCTATGTATGTTAGTATGATTGAATTACTAACAATGTTTTTTTTAATTTATTATTAATTATATAAATGTCAATAAATAAAATACATAGTTAAATAAAATACTGTATTATACATTGACTTTTTAATATACATTTTTAATATTTTAATAATTTTAATATAAATACAATATTATCAACATGATGCTCTTTTTTGTGTATAATTTTTCATTTAATTAACGGCTTCACAGACCGGTTAACCTTTGTACTAGTTGAGTATGTGACGGTAAACGCTTGCCATCATTTAGCAATAGATTAAAAGGTTGTGTTATTTTATTTTCCTGCCTGGGCCATAAAGACAACTCCACCTATATTTATAAACATCTAATCAAGCTGTCATTGTACACCTAATGTATGAGAACAATAGGTAATCTCACATATATCTGCGCAGAGACTGCCATCATAATTCCTGCTCGTTATTTAATAATTTCTCGTGCCCGACGTCGTCTGACCCTGCTGCTCCTCTGCTGATTAGCCAAGGGTGCAGGCCAGGAATGAGGAGGTATCTAGGGGAAACAATGGCTGATTACAGCGCAGGAAGCGTCCACTCCCCAAACTCCAGACCTGTCTAACCCTGAGTAGATGTGAGGAACTCTGTGATTGTTGGCCCTGATCCCCTGATCTCTGACCAGCGAGAAGAACGCTGCCTTTCCCATGGTCTCCAGTTATGTAAGGATGATTGAGGGACCAGGAGGATCATTGTGAGTGTGTATGATTGAATGTCCAGAGGCTTTTAGCGTCTTGCATGTGTCATCGTACATTAAAAACCAGAAAAAAGTATGGGAATTTTGATATATTTCTGTGTTCCAGACAGGCTTATTGTTTGGCTATTAAATATTAGGAACCATGAAGGGGCTATAAGAATGCTTGATATCCTGAAAATAGCTTTGAGATTAGTCCTCATTCTTTTTGGCAAAGTCGTTGTTTCTCACTGGATTATGGAGGATGTTGGGCACACTGACTGACTTGGCCTGTGAAGCGATTCCTGTGTGGGGAGTGACTGAGTTTGGATGTGGAATGAGGGGTGGTCTTGCCTCCTTCAGATATGAGTTGGAAACACTTTCTCTTTCTCTTTGTTATCTCTGTTTTGTTCTCTCATCTTTTGAGACAGGAAATATGTGATTGTGTTTCCTAGCCCACATTTTTTAAAGGTGAAAAATGAAGGCCTCTTAAATGGCAATGTAGGGTTGCATAACTGGAGAATATTAGTTCATAATGTACCTCCGGGCCTCTATACGGTCGTCCATTCACAATCTCAGGGGAAGCGTAAAGCGGGCTGCCGCAGAACGTTTGAAGAAGCTTGTCCTTGTGGTAGAGGTTGGACAAACCAAAATCTGCAATCTGGAATATGAAACCAAGTCAGAAAAGGCTGATATTGAGTAACAAATCACTAGAGGAAAATCGTAACATACCTTAATGTTACCGTTGTCATCCAGGAGAATGTTTTCCAGCTTGAGATCTCGGTGTACTACTCCGTTCTGTAAGACATCATCAAAATCATTGTTTTTAGATCAACTTTTTTCTCATAGGCATCAGAAAAAAATAGCTGCCAGCTATGTTTGTCATATATGATGTCCTACAAAACTCTGTAATGAACAATAAATACATTATGAACTTCTTAGTCTCTTGCTATTCTTTGAAGACAGCAATATTTTATGAAAGGGAAAAGTGACATTTCCCTTCATCCCGTATAAGAACCCGACCGTCAAATGGCCTGATCTGTGTATCTCCTCCCTTCTTTCTGGGACGACCTCCTTGGAATCCCCCAGCTGAGTTGATGACATCATCATCCCAGCTGTACAGAAACAAAGGCCAAGCCCAGGCTGAATTCCCCCAGGGCGTTTCATTTTCCAGCTGACACGGCCCCGGGTACCGGCTGACCTTTTGTACTGATCTAGGAACGACATCTTCTGCATTAATCCTACACTTAATCTTTATAAAACTAGAAAAATATGCTCTAAAATGTGAAATAAAAGAGAAAACAATGAAGAAATACGTGCTGGATCAATGTGAAAGGCCAATTTGAAGTATATCACGCTTGGAAAGTGGGAAAAATTGGAGATGAGGAGGGGTTTGGCATCAGGACAGAAGAACACAGCTGCTCTCTGGCTCCACAACCTTTCGCATCGAGACATTCTTGGAAGTTTAGTTTATCCCTCTCATATCATGTCAAGTCCTCCTTCATTCAGTAAATTATTTTATTTACTCTATAGAGAACTCATGTGCGACTGCACGTGAACATTCCACAGATGTCAGTTGTTTAGTTCGAGAGGCTTTAAGGTACGAGACGCTGTGCTATAATGTAACTGTAGTCATGGTTAAAGTCTAAGTACCTTAGCTACATAAGGTTAAAGGCAAGAAATGCAGTAGAGGATATATTTACAATATTCCTGCTGAAAACCAGCTAGTTTGCCGGCTTTAGCTGGTTAAAGTTAGCCCCCAAACCTGCCCAAACTGGTCTGGCTAGGGTGGCCAGGTTGATCTGAAAAGAGCAAAAAATCCTCTAAAACCAGCCAAAGCTTAGACCAACAAAGACCAGCAAACCAGCTTTGGCGGGTTTTTTTTTCTAAACTAGTTGTTTTGTTATTTCTTTTTTTTTTCTATAATACAGAAAACCTTTGTCTTCATTTTTTCACCTAGTTTGACCTTTATGACTTTTATTTTTTAATGGAACACACACACACACACACAAAAAGTTATTTAGAAGAATGTTTCAACTGTTTTTGCTTATATAATGAAAGTCAATGGGGTCCAAAATGCCACCTTTCATTGTATGGACCACAAAACCCACAATTTTCAGAATATCATCTTTTGTGTTTCCCAGTAGAAAGGTCATACCGGTTTGGAATGACATGAAGGTCAGCAAATTAGTTTTTAATTTGCCTCACCACATGGCTCCACCGGTTCCACCCTCACCTTGTGGCAGTAATGAACAGCAGAGACGATCTGTCTGAAGAAGTGCCTGGTCTCCCTTTCGCTGAGCCTTCGGCGCTCGCTCATGTAATCGTACAGCTCACCCTTACTGGCATATTCCATCACGATCACAATCTTATCCTTATTCTCGAACACTGCAAATAGAAGCAAGTACAACAGCGGTTGATTAGATTACTCAACATCATTGCATTATAGGCATTTGCATGTTAAAGAGATGGCGCATGGAAATGAAAACAGCATATTTCCATTATGTCCCGCTCTCTAGATTAAGCTCTCTGTCATTGACTGTTAACAGTTTGGCTCGAGCTTTTGTTGGGCCGTTGCCAGTATGTAGGAGTCAAAATCGCCAGCGAGTCTGGCTTTAGTTAGTGTCATGGCGATTAGGAGCTGTCTTTGCAAGCGAGACCACAACTGCTAACAGGTGTTAAGTGCAGAGAGGAAGTGAGATTTGGTGTACGTGATCTTGGATGGTAAATATTCCCGTTCTAAGAAAAGGTATGTGTTTTGCATAACACGGTTTTCTTAGTAGCAGCTCTTAGATTAATAGCCATCATTTAAACCAATCAGAGAAGTGTTTATCTTGCCAATCTTGATGGAAAAAATAGAACCTCAACAAATCTTTGTTTTTATTTGGCAGGGGAGTGAAGCTGTTGCTCCATTCAGATCCTCCTTCACCTTCTGCTGATACAGTAGGAGCATCTCCATAGCGACTCTTCATTGTTTACTGCCCAAAGGCTGGTTGTCACAGTGATGGTCAGTGGACCAAATAGACAATGAAGAATCCCTCTGATCAGGTGGGTTTCCTTTGGCTCTCTTGGTGTCACTTTCAACAACATGTGTATTTGTACACCTGCTAAATGTCTAGGACTATCCCGGCTTGCTGGAATAACCTTCGAAAACCAGTTAAGTTCATGTTCAAGACATTGAACCAGATCTGAAACCAGCGCTAGAAGCTAGCACTGAGTAATTACCTCTCTCGGCTAATCCGTATTAGACACAGGAGACTGAACGCTACATTTTGGCACCGACTCTCAGACCGATCCAGGGTCAGTAATAATGGCCCCTGGCTGAGAGCGCGGCGTGAGTCCACAGCCGTGGCGTCTCTCTCTGTGAGCATGGAGATAAAGCAGCTTTGTCAAGTCTTTGTTTTGAGTATCGCGTTCAAGGCACGCTGCGCTCGGGGCCTAATTTGATGGGTTTTTGATTTATGTTCTGAGAGGCGTGGGACATTTCAAACATGCTGATTGCTGCAGGACTGTAATGATTTCAATGCATTCGCTTCATCTCCATTAGAGAGTTTACACCCCCAACAACATTTGCCTGATCAACACCCTTGGGCTAACAGGGTGCGGTCAGATCGCATAAATAAAACATGAGGGCAACTGATCTAAAGATGATTGGATGTTGAGAAAAACCACACTGGGCAGCAAAGGGTGTGGAGTTTACACATGTTGAGAAACAAAGTGAAGGGGGTTTGTAGACTTTTGATGTGTACTCGGTTTCTGAATACATGAAGTGGAGTTGTGGTGTCTCAGTGAGAGTGTTTTAAGACTAGCGGTGAGAAAAAGACCTACCTTCGTATATAGAGATGATGTGTGGATGGCGGAGAGAAGACATGATCTCGATCTCTCTGCGAATATGCACCATGTCTTGGTCATCTTTAATCTTTTCCTTTCGGATGGATTTAATCGCCACCTGAAAACCAACAAACAAGTAAAATCAACTATGAAGCACATTAGCGTTTAGGCAAACTAATATTAATGATTCTTTTGACTGGAGTAACTAGAAAATATTGATGGATTCCTGGTTTAGTAGCTCAATTTTTCAGTTTGATTGAGTAGTATTGATGAAAATTAGGGTCAAAAGTTGCAAAAACTCTGATTGATGATATTTTTGTTCCAGTGGCATCCTGGCTCAGGGGGTCATAGATCATAGAAACAGAAGAGCCTATTCCCTTTTATGGTGTCAAGGAGTTCACAGGAAAGTACTTCCTGTCTTAGGCGGTCAGGTGACCCACAAATTTGCTGAACTAACCAATCTAGTAGTAGAGGCACTCTTTTTATTTAACCTGCAGAGCAGTTTATTATAGTTGGTTTCAACATGGACTCACTAGGGTTATAATAGTTAACTAAAACTATTACATGAATTAAAATAAAATATAACAAAACTTAAACTTATTTTATTTCAGCTAGTTGCTAAGGCAACATTTCTCATTTCATTTAGTTTAACTTTTATGTGCTTTTTCATTTAGTACTAAAATAAACTAAAATCTACATAGACCTATGTAAAAATGTATAAAAACAAAAAAATTATAAGCGAATTATAAATATGAAATAAATTGAATTCAAAATATTAACAAAAACTATAATAGTGTTTCTTTTATAATAAAATATACATTATTTTTCACAATAAATTATGGACTAAACAACATAGTATCTTCAAAATAGTGTGATAAAATACAATAAATGTAATTAAAATGAATAATATAATATTGTACGGTGATAATATGCTTTAATTTAACTACGTATATAGTCATTTAAAAGATGCATAAATCATATAAATTATTTTATTCCTTATAGAAAGCATAGAATTTATTTCAGTACTTTTATTCTTTGGAAGTTCTGGAGAGAGATGTTTTTTTGGTAAGCTAAGGGAGTCTAGATCGGGAATTAGTGGCTTAACCTTGAGCAAAAATGGGTTTCTGTGAAGGTGAATGGCTTTTTCGGGAGAAGGCGCACCACAGAAGTTATTTTTAAATGTCCCATTTACCAGCTCCCAAACAGGCTCTATCACAGAGATGTGTCAGTGCTCAAAGGCCTGCTTTCAAAGAACCTCTTTTTTCATTTTTACATATTTACCTTTTTTTAGATAATGCAATGTTATCTCAAGCATAAACTGTTTTAGCTGGTAAATTAATTGTATTTACTCTATATCTTAAAGTCTTATCCTTTATATGCGTGCTGAGGATGCTGAGAAGATTTCTGCCTGGCTAAATCTGAGTGGTCATGAGGAGGAATTAAAGTTGCAGGAAGTTTGCAGCCTGTTCCTCCACTGACTCATAAAACACGCAGGAGGGGAAGTGGTGCTGACAGAGCTGACTTCCTGTCCACCCCGTTCAGTTCACAACCCCGATATACTGCCAACCCACGCCTTTTAGGGGCAAAATTGTGTTCCTGCAAATGCATTGTTTTACTGTCTGAGGACATCTACAATGCATGCATTGCATGTTACAGCCTTATCAGTGACTTATGTAATACTCATAGTACAGAGCTTGTGATAAATGTGTTTAAAGGGGTCATATGATGCGATTTAAATTTTTCCTTTCTCTTTGTAGTGATACAAGCTCTTGGTGCATAAAGAAGATCTGTAAAGTTGCAAGCCTTATAATCTCAAATCCAAAGAGATATTCTTTATAAAAGTTAAGAGTCAGCCACGCCTACCTAAAACGGCTCATTCTAACACGCCCCCACATGTCTACGTCACGATGTGGGAAGATTTGCATAACGCTGACCCCTTTAACTCGCCACTTGGATATGATCTGTCTGATTAGAGTCTGGTGTTTGTGACTAGGATGGTGGAAGGTTTTAAAAAGGCTGTAAGACAGAGCCAGAACATACGTGTGTGTGTGTGTGTGTTTAGAGCCACTTTAGGAACTCAATGTGATATGATCCTCTCAAATTTGACCCTAATTACAGTGAAAGCATAAACGCATTAAAATTGCATTGCAGCAGATAGGCACGCAGGTGATTTTTTTGACCTCGCTGAAGGAAGCACATATGGTTGAGTGGTATTGTTACCCAGCCTGTGGCTACAGATCATTAAGCCAACCTGTGTTTGATGCCTTTGCCAGCTGGCTGTAGGCTTTGTTCTTCTCTAACCCCTGGCTAAAACTGAAGCCTTCTTATTGTCTCCTAGACATAGACCAGCCCATTGTCTGAGCCTCACACAACAGCTGTGTTGTTTTACCAGTCCGTTGTTTAAGGGGGAAAAGGGAGCACCTTTACTTACCGGAGCACTCGTGCGGAACGAAGTTTTGGAAAAAAGCGTCATAGAAAGTTGAACACAATGAAGGAGCAAAAAAAGAAAGCCTGTTGTCACATTTGTTGTTTCTTTCCAACTTCCTCTGCCTTTACCATCTTTCTATGTCTCCTGACGTATACTATGCCAGTGTCCTTTCAATAAAAAAACGTTTTAACTTTTTTTTTTTTACTTGACCCTCGGTTTTTTTTCTTTTCTTTTTTTAAATGAGCCAGTCCATAAACACTAAAATACTGTTTCTATAGTATAGCCATAAGATGTAAACAATATGCATGTGAAAAGTATTTTAGTGTGGAAAAAATGCTTCTAATATCCAATTTTACTTTGTTGTCAAGACAATGTCTTTAAAGAAGCACATGCAAAGAGTCAAAATAATTGTTCTGGTTCAGTTCATCCCATAATGTTATGAATTATTTCCTTTGCTACTAGCGTGAGTCATGCATTCCTAGATTCAGCCATCGGTCCATTCAGACAATAGACTGCGACTCCAAAATTGATCAGTTTGTGCATGATACTTTATCATCTGCCCCCGTCCACAATGTCTACCTGTCTTTTTTTTATCACCGAACCCCCATTAAGTTCAAAAAGCAAATGACTGAAGCTCACTCACAAATGTGTTTGCAGGAAAAGTTTTCAAAATGTATATGCTGGAACATTCTTTGCTGCTGCCAAAGTCATCACCATACAAACACTTGAGTTTATCTGCACCCTTCAGATTTAGCATTGGTCATTGACACTGAAAACACAACTAGTTGTGTTGGTCTCCACATAACCACACTGTCTAATGTTTCTGTCTAGTCGGACGGTGCAAATTCAGAGGAAACGCTCTTAAGTGGTTCCATTATTAGGTTACCAAGTCCCGGACGTGACTCTAAGAGCATCCTGCACTCAAGCAGCTGTTGACATAAGGCCACATTTTTCGCCCACAGCTCTGACCCACTAGGTCCATATCTGCCCCACTCAAGAAGCAGATCTGTCTTGGGATTAATGCACTGACCTAGTTCCAAAACAGAAGTGGTTTATCCTAGTTTTTCTCACTTGCTCTACAGATGTCATGCATTTCTTAGCGATGGTGGTGAATCCAGAGTAATACGTAAAGGAGCTTAGGTTACTTGCAACATAAACATACCTATCGTGCTTTGAAACCTTTGACCTGCTCAACTCCTATATGACCTAAATGAGCTGACCCCTGTCACTGAGGAACGGAAGACAGCACTTGCCCTGTGAAATTGTGCATGTAATGATGGTCATTAAGGGCGCATTTACTTTCACCAATGTTTCAAAGGAATGTTTAATTATGTCAACTGATAGCAAGTGAAACACACACAATATCTCCCATATGAAAGGATAATCACAAATGAGATCTCTCTAATATCTCTGTTCAATCCCATAGGACAATGAGACGAAGCAGAAACATTCTCGTCTTCTGCTTCTCCATGATCACTCTTAAAAATAAAGGTTCTCTGTTGACATTGATGGTTCCACGAAGAACCTTTAACATCCATGGAACCTGTCCATTTCACAAAAGGTTCTTAATAGTGAAAAGGTTCTTATTAACATGTTCTTCATACTAAAAAAAGGTTCTTCTGTGGCATCACTGTGAAAACCCCCATTTGGAACCTTTATTTCTAAGAGTGATGGGAAAAAAGACCACATTTTCAAGACTTCAATTTGACAAGATGCAAAACTCATTTAATTCTTCCAAAACCAAATTAACTGGTTCATGCAACCCATTTGCATTTTATAGCTCTGTATTTTCATGTCTGTTTATCTCAAAGAATTTTAGAGTAGGAGAAACATCTGACTATCTTAGAACTTAATAAGATCTCTTGAGGTTTGAAAGAGCTATATTTGAGTCATTTCATGTTGGTAAACTCACCACTCGTCCAGTGTGCCTCTCTATGGCTTTCTTCACTTTTCCATATGTTCCTTTCCCGAGCGTCTCGAACAGCTCGTAGCGGTGCTTCAGGTTGTGTTTGTGGTGATGTTTCTTCACGCTGGACCCTCTCCGTACACCGAGAGAGGCTAGCATCTCTCCTCCGGGATAGTCCACCGGTAGAGGCTCACTTTCATTCGCTCCGTTATTCCCTAACTGGGATGATTCCGTCTCCATGGTTTCCTCAGCGATGTGTCCAGATGCTCGATAAATCTTAAGATCGGCTCTCAGCAGTTATAGAAAGTCACAGATATCCCACACTCGGTGTTTAGTCGTTATTTAAGCTTATGAATGGGGTCTGGGTTTTGTAGGGGGCGTCTAAGAAGAGCGACCCCGTCACTCATTCATCGGTGAAGTGCTCGTCTCGCCTCTGGCAGCTCAAATATGCGCCAGCGGACTCCATGCTTTACCCGTCCATCCCACTACCGGCGCGGGTTCCTCCTCCCCTCCTCTTCGGCTGCAAAATGAATATTTCCAACATTTTATTATGCAAACAAGCTTTATGTTGCCCCTTAAAATGAAGGGAATTTATATTAATATTAATAAGTGAATCCCTGCATTCATTCTTTCAAGTATATTTACCGCATGCTGTTGGATCACAGGTATATATATATATATATATATATATATATATATAATAAAAAAAATATTATAAATAAAAAATAATAAATCTCTCTCTCTCTCTCTCTCTCTCCTAATGGAATAATGGCATAATAGCGTCATGGAGAACACTTAATTGTATTTGATTAGGTTTGGTCAGTGCTTTCCCTTCATCACTCTCTCTTAATTATTCTTCAATTTAATGTGTTTTATTGGCATGACTAGTAACTGTACATTTCTAGGACTAAAGCATTTCCAGTTGCATGTAATATGTGTTTTGCAGCAATTAATAGTTCAACAAAATAATTACAATATAACAATAATTAAAAATATTGACTGAACTGAGTAATGAGCAACAGTATTGCTCATCTCAGTATTAAAAAAGCTTGATATGATTGACATAAAAGTATTTAGGTAGGCTACTTTAAGTATTTAAGCGCTGAAGTACAAAAACAGACAACAGAAAATAAGGTGAAGTGGAAAAAAAAGTAAACAAATATTATTTGCATTTTTTCTACAAAATGTTATGTAAGCTTCAATAAAATAAAATAATAATAATAATAATATCACATGGATTTAAAAACAAAAAAAACAAATAATGGATTTATTGCGTAAATAGCCTACATACATAAATAAAATAAATAAATAAATAACAATACATTAATGAACTTTAAGAACATTGTACTATTTTTTATCTCTATGTAAGTAAGCTCTTTGTGTATATCTTTTGTGTACTAATGCTGATATTGACTAGGTTTGATGCATTGCATTGGAGTAATGTTTTTTCTAATGAAGAATCTCTGGTTTGTATTTACTTGAAATCCACTAGCCATAGCATCATATCCTTAATGTCGGGTTGTTCTTCTGTAGTCCACTGCTTGTGTTTGTTTGTGTTGCGATCCTAAACTTTGGTAGCTCTCAGGACAGTAGCAAACATTACGCACAGTGAGCAAAACATGGATCAGCAGCGCCCTCTAGCAACAGCACGATATTTCTTCGGCGGTCATATACTGGGATCATTAGGATGTACTGCCACCATATGGAGGCACTAAAATAGGTTGTGTTCAGAATGTGTGTTTCTGAAGTGTGTGTATTGTGCATAGCCAGGATACTCAACTTTGGCAAAGCGTTTAGTATGCAACCGTTCAACTTGATCTCAAGACTCCTGTGAGACATTTTCCACAAAATAGTTATTATGCAGTGCAGGCTATGTATATACTGTATTCTGCCCTATTAATTAAAAATAGTAAGTGGAACTGAAGACACTGTATGCTAAACGTTTCAAACAGTAGTATTTGTTGTTATGTGACCTTACTATATTTGTCACATGACCTCATCACATGATATTATGTCCTTCATCCATTATACTGCAAATGGAAGGTCAAGTTTAGCTCAAGGATTGTTTTGCATGTTAACAAATAAGTCATCTTGATATTCTACGCATGCAATAGTATTTGCATACTGTACTATATGCGTTAGCAATAATTAGAGTATAATAGCCATAGATTTTCAGGGAATTTGATTTGTCACTAGTGTAATAAACAATAAGTGCATTAAAGATTAATATCAGACCTGAAAAAGCTCTAGTTTGATAGTTTAGGGCCTTTTTTATATAGTAAATGCTTACACGGTCTTTAGTCTGCCACAGAAGTGGATCATTGTCCTCTGGTATTCTGGGCTAGGTTTTGATGGACAGCCCCTAAAATCAGATATGATGGCTGATGTGCAGCTGATGTTACCAACCAGAGTCAATCTGAGAGCTGAGCATTCTGGGATTGACAGTCAGATGACAAGTATGCAAGATCTCTTCTACCCTAAAAAAGGTTAGTGAAAGGTCTTGATTTGATCGCTAGAAGACCTTGGGGGTCATTAGCTCATATTACATCAGTCAGATCTGCATGATTCAATCCTTGTGGTGCACAGGAAATGAATAATCATGGTTTCTGAATGTACTGTGACTGGTGCTTACTGTTTTGCCTGTGGCATGGCACGTGTGGTACATTACTATGACATTCTTGATTTTCCTTTATATTTCCATTTCTTTCATCCTAGATTAGTGGTTTGTCTATAGGGTTTGTGTCATACACACTATCCACACAGTCAGGCAGTCTGAAGATGCATCATTTTATTAGACGTGACATGAAAGCCAAAGTATTGAGTTGCATATTAGTGTAAATTGCATAATAGCAAATATACAGTATATCCATATATTATCTCTGACAGTGCTATGAATGGGAATGCAATCTATGGTAGTGACTATCAGATTTCCTACACTAAAGGTCAAAAATTTGGATATACTGTACTTGAATGAATGTTTCTAATTCTGAAAAATGGTCAAGAGTGTTTGAAATATTAGTTTTGTAGAAAAATAAAAAAATAAATAATATATTTATTATTATTATTATTATATTATACATTTTGTTTTATTTGATCAAAATACAGTAAAAAACAGTAATATAATGAAATATTTTTTACAATTAACTGTTTTGAATATTTTTGAATATATATTAATGTAAATATATTTCATAAATGTAATGTACAAATGTAATATATTTCATATTTCAATGTATTTCAAACTGTAATTCTTTCCTGATGAATAGAAAATTCATAACAGCATCTATTTGAAATAGAAATACAAAGATGGTTTACTGTCTTACTGTCACTTTTGATCAGTTGAATGCATTGATGCTAAATAAAAGTAATAATTTCTTTAAAAAAACTTTATATAAATATAAAATGTATTTATTTGAAATACATATATAAATATATATAATATATATATTATAAATATATAAATATACATAAACACATTACACCCCAGTGGAATTTGTCAAGCAATGTATATAACCTCAACTAATGTTAAAATTTGGGTGCAATTTCATATTTTAATTGAAATTTTTATGAGAGTAACAAAGTAAATCATTATATTTTCAAATTATGCTAGATATCAAATAATCTAAATTATCAGTGCAAAATCATGTCATACTGTATAACAGCATCATTATTCTAGTGTTACTGTATGGAAGTGGCCTCACACTTAAAAGGAAACTTTGCTTTGCCCTCTGACAGAGTCACTAAGTTACAGAGACTGGTGAGACCTGAGTCATGTAGACGAATGGATGAGCATTGTGCAATACACGCACAGGCCTACCTCACTGACCAAACATACTCACACACCCTCCAGACACACAGCAATATCCAGATATGCTGATCTACATTTTTCTATTCTTAGATTTAAAATGATTTCTTACATCACTCTTACATCATTTATATACGTCAGCAATCTCGCTTTTAAATTCCACATGAAATGGCTTGTCAAATGCCGTTTTCTTTCCTGTGGTGACGTATTTCCTGTTGAAATGTGGGCGGGGTAAATCAAAAAGATCTTTTTATAGATGGCCAACAGGCTCGAGTCACGTCACAGCCACAAACCATCATGTGCTACTTGCTCTTATAGTCGGTTGCAAATAATATTAGAAAGCATTTTATATGGCAAAATGTCCAAGATTTATGAATACTTTTTATCCCAGAAGAGAAAATCTATAAATCTGCCAAAAGTTTCATGCATATACGATCATAAAACTAAAAGACATGGACTAAAACCCACAAAAGTCCAATTTTGGGTTCTTGCGGTCTTTACTATGTTTTTCAAGTTTTTCAAGACAGAACTATTCTGTTGTTTCAAAGCTTTTTCCTCCTTGAACATGACAGCACACCTGAATCTGTGACACACGGTCTGGTAAAATGGTAAAGTTCAGGCAGAAGCACCGGCCCCAGACTGAGACTGAGCTCTAGCGTAATTGAAGGACTTTCTGTCCTACTGTATGAAGACTAACTTGTCATTACATGCAGAGGGCAAGATAGAGACACACACAACTCAATTAAATAATGAATCATCCCAAATGCACATGCAGTTTTGCCCAGCCCACATTAGTCATGAGTGAAATGCTTGCTCAGCACATTACATTTTTTTTTTTTTTTTTTTTGGCAAAATAGATAAAATAAGAAATAATGAAATCAGATTAAAATGTAAAATATGTATAAAAATATTACTTATGCATAAATATTAATAAAATAATATTAATACAATATTATAAAATGCAATATAATATATTGATAATTATAAAATACTGATGTAATATTCCTTATATATTTATGTTTTATATATATATATATTAAAGGAATATTACAGAATTATTTTCAAGCTCCAGTGTTGTGTGGTGGGAAGTGTGGTTGCAATACCATTTTTATATGTTTCATTCAACTTCTTTAATAAATACAGTAAACATCGTGTCTGTGCTGAAGAATCTACAGTTTTATTGTCATTTTGTTTTGGCAGCTCAGTTCATTCAGCGAAAATTTGCTTTGCCACTGATCAAATTTGAAAACATAAGATGAAAATACGATTAAGAGGAGTTTAACTTATGTGGAATTATAAATAGTAAGCACTTGGTACATAGAAAAAATATTTTAAAGAATGAATTGACTTTAAAGGTCATTTCCTGTTAGAGGCGAAACAATTTCTCCCTCTCATACTATGTACGTTTTTGATAATTATAGCAATGAATTGGTTTGGAGTACTAGAGTATGAAGCGATGCAAAAAGTCTATTTTATAGTTTATTTACTGGAATCTGGTGAAGTCTTAACGGATGGTGCAGTCAAACATGCTTGATAAGTGGGGACCAGCATGTGTCCGTTGTGCTGTCCATTAGTGCAGGTGAAAGTCCCATGTTTTATTTTTCTAACAGTCATGCTCAGGTACGATTCTGCACTTCAGAATCTTTAGATA